AGAAATGAAAAGTGAGAACTCACCCCCCAGGAGGAGTGACCACTCCACAGTCCCTTCTTCTCCATTCTCCTGGGATTTTGGGCACTCATGTATACACCCACCGTGATTTTCAAGCTGCCAGGTCAGCGACTTGGACAACAGTCAGTCATGTGGGAGTCCATCACCTTAACCACTACGCCACCTGCTGGCCCGTTTGTGGTTTTTTTATTTTGCCAGATGGCATGTATGCTGGTCAGCCAGAGACAAGGAGAAAGGGAGAGGGAGAAAACACCCCTCAATGGAATCGTTAATGCCACTGTCTCCTTTTTTCCAACCTGTTGGGATTTGGGGCATGCATGCACACGTGCCTGGCACGATTTTCAGGCCACTGGGGCTGAGATTTGAACTAAGCATCCGCCCATGTGCGGTCCAGCTGTGTTAACTACCACATCACGAGCCAGCCTAACTCAGTACTTTGTATTATTAGTTTACCTCTGCTATTGCCTTATTTGTTGTACCTCTTAGTTTTTTGGTAAGTAGTTAAGGTTTATAATTTACATTTTTAATGTATCACATTCCAGCTTTATGTAATTTCACAGTTCACATTTCACACCCCCATTTCCATTGTGCTATTCTTTTCACATATTTTACTTTGTTGTTCTTTTTTTTGGTTTGCTACAGGCCACTGCTCGCCAGAGAGACACAGAGGAAGAGAAAGTGACAATTCATCCCCTAGGACAGGGCCACTCCACAATCCCTTCTCCTCCATTCTCCTCTTCTCCGGATATGGGCAGGCCTGTGCAGGTGCCCGGCATGTTTTTCAAGCCACCTAGTCTGGGACTTGAGTCTTAAGCACCAGGCCACTGGCTGGCCCTGTATGGTTAACATTTATTTTATTATTTTGTTAAATAATTATGTATTGAATTTTATTGTTTATTGTTTAATTTGTTTATTTTTAAATTTGACCAGAGAGAGACAGAAAGGGAAAGTGAGAAAGAAAGCTGGCAGCCTGGGACTTTAACCACAGTCAGTCAGCCATGTGGGAGTCCAGCACCTTAGCCACCACGCCACCTGCTGGCCCCTATATTTAACATTTAAAGAGCTCAATTACCGTTTTAAATGGTTTAAAATTAAAAATAGCCTTTTATATTTATCAACATGTTTACCCATTTCCATAATTATTTTTGAGTAGATGAACCCAAATTTCCTTGTGCTTGAAGAGCTTTTCCAAATATTTCCCATGAAGAAAGTTTGCTCTTGGGACCAGCAGTTAGCGTAATGGCTATGTCGCTGGACTCCCACGTAGTCGACTGCGGTTCGAGTCCCGGACCTGGTGGCTTAAACTCACACCGGGTGCGTGTGCGTGCGTGCCCAAGATCCCGAGAGGAGAATGGAGGAGAAGGGATTGCAGCGTGGCCATCCCCCCTGGGGGGTGATTTCTCGCTTTCTGTCTCTCTCTCTGTCTGGAGAGCGCATGCACCCTATAGGAAAAAAAAAAAAGTTTGCTCTCTAAGAATCCTGCTTTTGCCGGAATAAAGCCTTTATTTAAGTCTTCTGTTTGAAAGGTGTTCGCACTTAGGTGTAGAATTCAAGGCTGACAGTTTTCCTTCTACACTGTGGGCATGTCGCTCCACCAGGACATCTTTGGCAAGCCTCAACCTCTGGGACATCAGGGTGGACGGGAGAACCCCTAGGGCTACCTACCTAAGAGCCCTCCAAAAAGGGATGGAGACTCTGGGACAGCTCAGGCGTCTTGCGCGGTTTCAGTGCAGACTGTCCTCAAGGCCAGCTGGAGTCCTGAGCTTGCGGTTGGATGGGGCGGTCGCCTGGCCCCATCGCGCCCTCCCTTCGCTCGCCCCGCCCCCGGGGGCGGTCCCGACCTCCCTTCTTAAAGGGAGGCCACAGGCCGGGTGTAGGTTCCTGCCTTTTGCGGTGTTAGACGTGGAGCCAACAGGTGGGGCCGACGCCGCCGCAATGTCCCGCCACCTGTCGCCGACCAGGCCCGCCACGGTGCTGGGAGCCATGGAGATGGGGCGCCGCATGTCCCCGTCTGCCAGCGCCGCAGCGGTGCGCGCCTTTCTCGAGCGCGGCCACACGGAGATAGACACGGCGGTAATATACAGCGACGGCCAGTCCGAGAGCATCCTGGGCGGCCTGGGGCTCGGGCTGGGCGCCGCCGGCTGCAAAGGTAACAGTCGCCCGACCTCCCCCTACGGCGTCGGGCTCAGGACCTCAGCCGCGTCCCGGCCTCGCCACACCAGGCGGAAGTCAGTTCCTTCTCTGGGCTCTGACATCCCCTGCCCGCACCACAGTTCTGTGTACCCCAAGTTTCAGAGGCACCTCTAGCCCCAGACAACTGGACAGTGCTTCTTCCCGATTCATTTCCTCTCCTTTTACCTTCTGGGATGCAGGTAGCCCAGGATCCCTCCTCCGCCACCCAGCCTTTCCCTCTGCAACCTGGTCTAGGCTAGGACTTGGCTAGCTCCTTTGGGGAGAAGGGGGCGCGGAAAACACTGAAATCTGGCAGGGCCCGCTCTCCCTCTCCCTCCCAGCAGGTGCCCTTGAGCTGCAGGACTCCTGCCCTTACCGCCCTGGCGGCTTCTGGCACAGCTCCTGCTCAGACTTTGGAGAGTTGTGTTGTCTGCCTCCTTCGCTCCAGCCTTGCTCTGGGCCCTAGACTTTGCTCCGCTCTGTGTGGTTGGCAGGGCTTGGCTTTCACAGCTGCAATAGCTGCCTATGTGGGCCAGGGGAGTAGGCGGAGGGCAGTGTCTGACTGCCGGTCTGTGCCAGGCTCCTAGGCTGTGGGAAAGAAACGGACACTACCCCTCCAGGAAGCTCAGATCATATTTAGAGATGGCTGGACTCAAAGGAGCAGTTCCTAGGAGAGAGCCTTGAAAAAGCATCTGGGGGCCAGCAGGCAGTATGGTGATTGAGGCGGCTCCATCGCATGCGGCTGACGCCATGGTTCAAGTCCCCGGATCTGGCCGCTTGAGAAACATGCCAGTTGCATGTGCGTGTGTGCCCAAAATCCCGAGAGGACAAAGAAGAGATTGCGTTTTGGCCACATGCCCAGGCAGGGTGCGTGTGTGCCCAAAATCCCAAGAGGACAAAGGAGAAGAGAGTGTGTTTTGGCCACATGCCCAGGCAGGGCTTTCTCACTTTCCCTCTGTCTCTCTCTCTCTGACCGAAAAGTGCACATGTACCATAGCAAAACTAAAACGATACTAATAATAAAGCTTCTAGGAAAAGGGACTATTAGGCCTTAAAGAAGGGATAGAGGTTTGCCAGGAGTAAGAGGGGAAGAGGCATCCTGGGCGGGGCGCGGGTGTGCAAAGGCAACGAGATTTTTTTTTTTTTCTTTTTTTTTGGAGAGGTTTTTGCTATAGGGCGCTTGTGCTTGCCAGACAGACAGAGAGAGACAGAGAGACAGAAAGTGAGAACTCACCCCCCAGGGGGGATGGCCACACCGCCGCAATCCCTCCTCCTCCGTTCTCCTCTCAGGATCGTGGGCACGCATGCACATGTGCCTGGCGTGAGGTTTAAGCCACCGGGTCCGGGACGCGAACTGCAGTCGACTACGTGGGAGTCCAGCGACATAGCTATTACGCTAACTGCTGGTCCCAAGGCAACAAGATTTGGCCATGCTGAGGGTGTCAGAGGAGGCAGATGTGGCTTAAGGGGAGGAGGTGTCGGGGGCAGGGAGGTCCCTCATTAGCCTGGTGCCGTGTGATGCCCCTTGGACAGAGCCTGATGACACAGTGCGGGCTCAGAAATGTTCGCTGTTATTGGGCCAGCAGGTGGTGTGGAGGTTAAGGAGGCTGGATCCCACACGGCTGACTGTGCGGCTGGAGTCCCAGACCTGCAGCTTGAAAAACATGCCGGGCACATGCGCATATGTGCCCAGAGGAGAATGGAGGAGAAGGGACTGTGGCGTGGCTATCCTCCCTGGGGCGTGCTTTCTCACTTTCCTTTTCTCTCTGTCTCTGTCTCTGGTGAGCATACGTGCCCTATGGCAAAAACTAAAAAACAAAAAATGTTGGCTGTTTCTTTTTTTTAGTATTTTTAACTTATTTATATATTTTAATTTTTATATATTTTTTTATTTTTTGAAATTTGCTATAGGGCACAAGTACTCACCAGAGAGAGAGAGAGAAAGTGAGAAAGCAAGCTGCCAGGTCTGGGAAATGAACCACTGTAGGTCATGTGGGAGTCCAGTGCCCTAACCATCATGCCACCTGGTGCCCCCCACCCCTCTTGGCCTTCTTTCACTTGCCGGCTTTCTTCTTCCCCCTCTGGTAGAGTCTTTCTTGGCTTCATCTCATTTTCACAGCACTGGAGACGAAACAGTGAGAATACGGTAGGTCTCAGAGCAGCCTTTCGTCGGTCACCCGGGGAGGACTCTGACCTGATTTCTTTCTCTTCTCCAACCACCTTCCTTCTCTTCCGTCCTTGAGGCCAAAGTCCTTAGCTCTTGTACCTGAGATAAAGTTAATCTCCATGAAGGAGTGGGAGATAAAAGGGAGGGTAGATGGTGGAATGGAAAAATTCCGAAGGAGTCCCTCACACCTGGTCTCCCCGGGCCTCAAGAGCCCTGACGACTGGCCTCTGGCCTGCCCAGGGACTTTGCAGGCATGAACACTGGGAAGAGGACTCCTCACTCAGACGTCTGGTCTACCAGGATTCTTGATAGCGCACAGGGAGAAAAATGTTGAGGTCACTTTCTGGTTCTCGTGGGAGTGAGTCAGATTGATCTCTGCCATTCCTCCCTGGGGACCAGGATGAGGCCCCTAACGTCTTTTTCTTGGGGTCTCACAAGTCTCACCGAGCTCTCTTACAGAGATCTTACAGACCAGCCCTTCATTGCTGCTGCGCTCGGTTACTGGAAAGCCACAGGCTGCCCCGTAGCTCCCGTTCTTATACTTGGAAGAGGATCTCCGCAGCCCCCACAGTCCAGACTCCACGGTGCACTCGGGGCCCTGCAGCATCTGATCTGTGGCCTCTTCTCTTGCCTCATGTCCCCCTGGACTTGGTACATGGACTCGCAGTCATGGCTCTCCACACAGGAGTCCTGGCCTCTGGGCTTTCCCCCATGTCTCACGCTCTGGAAAGGGTTTCCCACACTTCCCCCGCTGGTGGGCTCTCACTTCCCCTTGCAGATTTGGACTCAGATTCCAAGCAGAGCCTTCCTGACTCCAGAGCAGGCTCCAGGCCTCTATGCTCTGGGCTCCTCCTGCACCTCGTGCATGTCCCCGCTTCGCTGTTCTAGAGTGGCCCTTCCATTGTGAGTCTTCAAGGGCAGAGGCCATGTCCCTCCACCAGCTCCTAGTGCCAGGCCCGGCATATCCAGCTGCCCATCGGCGGTCACAATGAACACGTCTATCCACGTTTGCTCACTCCTCAGCACCGCCTTACAAGATACTACCATTTGCCTCTTTCACGGCTGAGTCAATTGAGACTCGGAGATGTTAAGTAGCTTACTGGAGGCCCCTGAGCTAGTGCTGGCAGGGCTGGTCTGTCTCTTAACCACCGTATGTCGAGCTCACCCCACAGAGACACACCCTCTCCAGTGTTTGGTATACTGGCCTGAACTTCCATTTCTTTCCTCGTAAAGTGAAAATTGCTACCAAGGCCAACCCTTGGTATGGAAACTCACTGAAGCCAGACAGTCTGCGGTCCCAGCTGGAGACGTCACTGAAGAGGCTGCAGTGCCCCCGGGTGGACCTCTTCTACCTACATGCACCAGACCACGGCACCCCCGTGGAAGAGACGCTGCGAGCCTGCCACCAGCTGCACCAGGAGGTGAGGGCGGCCCCTGAGTGGCAAGAACTGGCCAGCCGCTCCCTCCTTTCCTGATGCTGCCCAAGAATGGAGGCACCAGGCCAGCCCCAGAGTGAAGCTGGGAATGGACCCGACTCCCTGGGTCCCCACCCAGCTCTCCCCTTCCTGGTGTCTGGCCATGCTGGGTTCTGACCTTGCCTCCCCACTGCAGGGCAAGTTTGTGGAGCTTGGCCTCTCTAACTACGCCGCCTGGGAGGTGGCCGAGATCTGCACCCTCTGCAGGAGCAACGGCTGGGTCCTGCCCACGGTGTACCAGGTGAGGGCCAGGCTGCAGGGCCTTGGCCTCTGGGCTCTTGGGGATCCTGGGTTCTCTTTCCCCTCTGCCTGTCCCCTGGCCCTGTACACAGCAGCTGCTTCCCTGTTGTACACCTGTGGGTGGCTCCCAGGTGTCCTCAGGCTGATGTTCAAGTTCCTTGGCCTGGCCACGAGGCACTTGCTCCCTTCTGTCCCCTCCTTGCTCTACACTTCAGCTGGAACACTCGTTGCTTCTCCCTGGTGGAAGTGCTCCGGTCTCAGATGGCTCTTCCTCTGGAAGCTTTCTGACACCCCAGAGGAGCCTGAGATCTCAGGCCCTCCTCCATCTCCTCATTGTCCAATCACATTGTACACCTACTTGGTGCCAGACACTGGTCATGGAAGTTAGTAGCATATGTGACCGCCCCTGTCTCTACTCTCCCTTGCTATACATCCCTGAGAGCAAGGCCCTTGTCCTTTTGGCTTATAGATCTAAATCCAACTTCAGCCTGCAGTTGGAGCTCATACATGTTGATCGAATGAATGAGTTTTCCGGGACCAGCCAGTAGCTTGGTGGTTGAGGCAGCTGGATCCCACATGGCCAACTGAGTAGTTCAAGCACCAGACCTGACGGCTTGAAGAACTTGCCAGGCACATGTGCGTGCATACCCAAGATCCTGAAAGGAGAGGTGAAGGGATTTCTGTGTGACCGCTTCCCATGGCGGTGCTTTCCTACTTTCCTTCTTTCTTTCTCTCCTGTGAGTGCATGCATCCTCAATAACAATAGTAATAATAATAATTAAATGAATTTTCCTTGGGCATAAGTCCACTCCACCATCACCACTGCTAAGTATATGCCCTGATTATTAAGGCCTTAGGATTGTTAAAGTCTGAATTGAGGGTAAATTTGGGACCCTCTCTCCCTGCAGGGCATGTACAACGCCACCACCCGGCAGGTGGAGACCGAGCCCGTTCCCTGACTCCGGGACTTTAGGCACTTTGGATTGAGGTTCTACGCCTACAACCCTCTGGCTGGTAAGGGCTGTGTGGGGAAAGGCTTCTCTGTGGTGGGTGGTGGCTGCCCCAGCCTCGCCTCTGCCTCTGCCTCTTCCTGACCCAGCGGATGCCCAGCCCAGGACTGGAGAGGGGGTTGACAGGAGGAGGCGGGGCTGTGTCCTCCATGCCTTCTTGGTCCCCCTGTCCTGCAGTCTGGAGCCATGAGGGATAAGGCAGCCTCTGGGAGCTTCTGGGTTAGGGGGTCTCACTGCAGCCTTTCACAGGGGGCCTGCTGACCGGCAAGTACAAGTTTGAGGACAAGGAGGAGAATAAGTCCGGGAGCCGCTTTTTTGGGACTGAACTGTCAGAGATATACAGGAATCGGTGAGCTGGGGTGGGCTGTATCAGGATGGGAAGTGGGGGACCTGGGATTGGTGCTGCCCCACTACTAGCTGGTGCTGTCTCCTTGAGGAAAATGTGTAAGTTCTGTAACCATCTGGCAGTAACATTGTCTTCAAAGGTGCAAATCGTGGTTGAACATCTGTTGATCTGTTGAGACTGGGCTTGTTGGGACTTGGCTTCTTTCCTTTTTTCTGACTGCTTAAATTTTGAACAATGTATCAAACTAATACATGATCATGGTTAAAACAAGCCTTTTACAAATTCCATCTCTCAGAGGCAACCTCTTAGAACTCCTGCAGCTTTTTTTTGGCTTCTAGTGTTTTCTGTGTTCTAAATATATGCTTTATTGCTGTTGCTTCACTTATCAAAGTTCTTCTGTGGACTGTTGGCACGCTTCCAATCTTGCCAGGCTTCCAGAAGCCAGGCTGCCAAGGCTGACCTCCATGCGCCGTGTAATAGGCATGCCTGCGTTTTGTTTTCTCCCCTGGGCAGAGGGCAGAAGCCAGCTAAGCTGTGCAGACTCCAACACTAGTTTTGTTGGAGTGGCCGAGGACCTAAGAAGCAGTGTTTAGTATTTGGAGTCACTTTGTGTTCCAGCTGTGACTAATCCTTACCTGGCAATCCCCTCTCCTCACCTGCTAGGGGTTTCTCTTTTTTGTTTTTTAAATAATTATTTATTTAATTTTATTTATTCATTCATTTATTTTAATTTAACCAGAGAGAGAGAGAGGGAAAGTGGGAAAAGCAAGCTACCAGACCTAGAACTCAAACCATGGTGGGCCATGTGGGAGTCCAGCACCTTAACCACCATGCCACCTGCTGGTCCCCCTGCTAGGGATTTCTGATGATCATCGCCAGTGTCCTGAAACAGTGGGGGTGCGAGTTATCTTTCACACCGCCTAGCCCTGACCCAGAGAATCAAGGCCTGATGCTTTCTCCCCCGTCTATCCTTTACCCCGGATCCAAAGCATAGTCAGGTCCCTCCCCTCCTTTTCACCTGCAATCGCTGTGTGGGGCTGGCAGGGGGTGTCCCCGTCCCTCCCTGAGCAGATGAGGGCAGGGGGCAGAGGTGGATCAGTCCAGCCCACAGAGCCAGGAGTAGAGCCGGGGCTTGTAATAGCCCTCGCAGTGCCTCAGGCACAGGTGGGGTGCGGTAGGTGCTCCAGGGTCCTGACTGGGGTGGGTGTTAACACCTGGTGAGCAAGTTAAATCAAGGCTTCTTACCCACTTGACTGAAAACGATGCCTCAGTTAGGGGCCCCGGAATCTGCATGAATTTTTGGTATCCCCAAAATGTAAAACCTCTATGTGAGCAAACATGGCCTCTTAGTGCGGCAGGGACTAGGGTGTGGTGGGATGCGCTGGTACTGACCCGTGTCACCTCCCCCCTGCACAGCTACTGGAAGGAGCACCACTTCAAGGCCATCGCCCTGGTGGAGAAGGCCCTGCAGGCCACGTACGGCGCCAGCACCCCCAGCATGACCTCGGCCACCCTCCGGTGGATGTACCACCACTCACAGCTGCAGGTGACCAGTGGCTCAGTGCTTGGCCTCTGCTTTCACATTTTTGGGGTTTGGGGAAGTTAGGGGAGGAGAGGGGAGCGGAGAGGGCCACACAGTTACTTGGTTATTTTTGAGATTATTCCTTTCTTTTGTGCCACAGGGCGCATGTGCTTGCTGGAGAGAGACAGAGAAAGAGAGACAGTGAGAGAGAAAGAGAAACCACCACCTGGGGGATGGCCCTAGAAAGGATGCTGCAATCCTTTCTCCTGGGATTTTAGGCACAGGTGCCCACACACGCCCAGTGTGATTTTCAAGCCACCAGGTCTGGGAATCGAAGCACCGTCGACCATGTAGGAATCCAGTGCCTTAACCACCACGCCACCTGCTAGCCCTGAGAGTATTCCTTTTCTACCTCTGAAATTTCTCCAAGGCCAAGTTCTTCTTCTTTTAATTGCTAGAGGGCATGTGTACTTCCAAGAGTCAGAGACAGAAACAGAGAAAGGGAAAAAGCATCTACTTCCACCCTCCACGTGGGTTATGGTCATGCTGAAATCCCTTCTCCATTTCTCTGTCCTGTCAGAATTTTAGGCATGTGTGCACATGTGCCCGGTGTGTTCTCCGAGCCACTGGGAACAGGATTTGAATCTCAGTCAGTCACGTGGGACCTGGCTCCCTTAATCATTAAGCTATGGAGCCAGCCACTGTTAAAAAATTGCCAGTGGACACGTGCACTCACCAGAGACAGAGAAAGCACTGTCCAGTGGGGCATGGTCATGCCTCAGTTCCTTCATTTCTCTGCACTGTCAGGACTCTGTGCATGGTGTTTTTCTAGCCACCAGGGCTGGGAACCAACCATCATTCAGCCATGAGATTCAGTTTTCTATGCATAGCACTTAACTGCTGTACTACCACTAGGTTGACCCCCATTTTTACAGAAGTTTATCTCTCCCATGAACAAGACAGAGACAGAGGGAGACATAGTATCCCCCACAGGATTCAGACACTGAGGTACCCTCTAGGTTCCAACAGTCCTGGATCATGGGTACATGTGCCTGGATCTTGATAGCATCTCCAGAACCTTCCAGGTCCTGGACTCAAACTGCAGTTGGTCATGTAGAAATTCAGTGCCTTTAACCACCACGCCACCTGCCGGCCCCCTACAAACACCATTTTTTCAATGGTCTTATTAAATATGATACCAGCTTCATGAGGAAGCTGGCTCAGAGAGGCCGTCTCACTTGTTGAAGGTTCATAGCTACATGTGGTAGGGAATGAGCATGGATTTGACTCAAACTTAAATTTTTTTAAGAATGATTTTATTGGGGGACCAGAAGTTGATGTAAGGGCTATGTTGCTGGACTTCCATGTAGTCTACTGCAGTTGTTCAAGTCCCAGACCCGGTGGCTTAAACTCCTGCTGGGCATGTGTGCGTGCTGCCCAAGGTCCCAAGAGAAGAAGGGATTGCGGTGTGGCCATCCGCCCTGGGGGGTGATTTCTTGCTGTCTCTGTCTTTCTGGTGAGCACATGTGCCCTATAGCAAAAAACCTCTCCAAAAAGAATTTTTGTCAGGGCAAGCAGGTGGCACAGTGATTAAGGGCGCTGGACTCCCACGTGGCCGACCGTGATTTGAGTCCTGGACCTGGTGGCTTACTTTCTCACTTTCCTTCTCTCTCCTGCTCTGTCCCTCTCTGGTCAAATTTAAATAAATAAATAAAGTTATATTTATTATTTGACCAGAGAGAGACAGAGACAGGGCAAGTGAGAAAGCAAGCCTCCAGGTCCAGGGCTCGAACTGCAGTCAGCCATATGGGAGTCCAGTGCCTTAGCCACCATGCTACCTGCCATTCCCCAAACCTAAATATTTAATATGAAAGGGGAGAGTGGGTATGCATGTGCATGCACACACCCACAATGCGCTCACCTCTCCTCCTAATGCGGTGTGATCACAAGGGTATGCACACACATGTACCTGGTGAGTTTCTCAAGCTGTTGGGGTCGGGACTTGAACCATGGTATAGGCTGGCTTTATGCAAGGGTCTTAACCACTGCACTATGGGCTGATTCTGAAACATGTATTCCTTGTTGTTTTAGTTTTTAGCAATAGAGTACGTGTGTTTGCTGGAGAAACAGAAACCAAGAAATCACCTGCTTGGAGGGTGGGGTGATGGCCAAACTGCAATCCTTTCTCTTGGGATTTTGGGCACACATGCACATGCTCTGCTATTGCTCTTCAAGTCACTAGGTCCGGGACTTGAAGCACGTCAGGCATGTCAAATGCAGCACCTTCATCACTACACCTTCTGCTGCACCCTCAACAGGTTTACTTGTCATTTACCCTGCCCCTGGTCACCCACCTCTCCATGTGTAGCTGGGGCTTCACTTCTTCCTTGCTATGCCAGGTTTCCCTAGGTCCTTTCATCAGCTTTGACGTCAGACAGTTAACAGCTGCCTTTCAGTCAGCACATTAAGAGGTTTGTGGCTTAGGGTGCACGTGCTCACGGGAGAGATAGACAGAAAGGGAAAGTGAGAATCACCCCCCAAGGGGGGATGCCCACACCACAATTCCTTCTCTCTTCTCCACTTGGGGTTTTAGGCATGCAATACGCCCGCACTTGGTCTAAGTTTTAAGCCGCTGGCCTGGGACTTGAACTGTGGTTGACTACATGGGAGCCCAGTGACATAACATTACACCATCACTGGTCCCAAGTGAGCACTTTAAATGGCAGGCAGGGAGCAAAGTACTTCACGAAATTCCTAACTCCCATAACCGCCCATAACAGTAAAGGAGTTTGAACCTTAAAGGCCACACAACTAAGCCAGGTTTACCCAGCTGTGAGCAGAGTGGCCCTGAACTCAGGTCTGCCAGGCTGCTGTCCTTCCTGAGGTCAGAGCCCACGCCTCAGTGGTTTTCAGAATGCAAGCCTAAGGAACTGGCCCCAACCTTGGTCGGGGAAAGCCAGAAGGGGAGTGTTACTGAGGTCCCTAAAGAGAAGCATGTCTCCCCTTGCAGGGTGCCCGTGGGGACGCAGTCATCTTGGGCATGTCCAGCCTGGAGCAACTGGAGCAGAACCTGGCGGCAACTGAGGAAGGGCCTCTGGAGCCTGCTGTCGTGGAGGCCTTTAAGCAAGCCTGGCACCTGGTTGCCCACGAGTGTCCCAACTACTTCCGCTAGGCACAGACCAAACATGAGGTTTGCAGGGCATAGCCTGCCACCTCTTTCATCCTTTCCACTTTGGGTCTTCCCCACCCTCAGCCAGTCCTTCCCCCACCTCCTCTGTAACCCTGTGATACGCCCAGCTGTCTGTCTCATCGTGCCATGGGATCTTGCTGGAGCTCAACTCTGAACCTTATGAATCTGTCCCCTGTGGCCTGCTTCCTGAGGGCTTCGTAAGGGGGACACAGGAGCATGGACTAAGGTCTTTGGAATCTGAAAGTAAGGGGAGGGTCTCGCCTCCCGTTCTAGCCTGAACAGTGGGACTGGAGGTAGCCCTCACTCTCCTATGCAAGACAAAAAAGAGGGCCACACACTGAGATAAATCTTTTCTACTATTTTCACAAAATGCTTACAAATAAAGGAATATGGGCAAAACCTACCAATAATCAGGATGCTATGGAACACTTTGAATACTCGCTCTCAACTCCAGCAGCGGCTTCACCTGTCCTAGGGGGTGCCTTTTTTTTTTTAAATTATTTTGTTTAACTTTATTTTAATTTGACCAGAGGGACGAGAGAGAGACTGAGAAAGCAAGCCACCAGGTCTGAGACTGAAACCACAGTCGGCCATTTGGGAGTCCAGCACTCTTAACCACACCACCTGCCAGCCTCCCTCCTATTATCTTGGTACCCGTCAGACTCGCAGCCCTCATGTGGAAGGGTTGGGCGTGGAGAGAGAGACAGTGTGTGAGTGAGAGCGAGAGAGTGCATGAGAGAGTGAGTGAGTGAGTGTGGGGTTAGGAAAGGCAGACAGGGAAAACTAAAAAAATCCTCTTTCAAGCAAGGGGCACCAGGGCATGAGGATGAGCCCCAGCTCCGGGGTGCTCTCGGCGGTCTGCAGAGCTGCACAGCTCCACTGTCACAATGGTCCTGGGCCAGTGCGGGAGGCTGGCTCACAGGTGAGGAGAGAATGGGTTTTCCCAGAGGAGCACGACCCCCAAGGCCCTTTTTCCTAAGGGAAGTCCCGGCTGCCCACAGGCAGACCCTGCAGACAGTTTTATTCTCTACAGAATCAGTCAGTGCCCATCACACTCCCGTCTCATTGGCAGCGAAGTAAACAGCCGTCCCTCCAGAGGGTGGGGGCAGTGCTGGGTGGTCCACTCGGGACCCGGAACATGCCGAAGGCCTCCAGCCCTGAGTCCCCATCAGTCGTCGTCATCATCCTCTGATTCTTCTGACGACTCTGACGCACTCTCTGGCATGTCGTCTCCCACCTGCTGGAACCTTCCCGACTGTGCATCCCACACGTACTTCATGGTCACTTTGAATTCGGCCATCTCGTACCCAAAAAGCTTCTGTTCGGGACCAACACACACAGTCAGTTGAGTGTCATGGACGCGTGAGAGAATGTTTCCACAGAGCCCCGGGGGCCGGACTCACCAGGACCCGGGCCTGCTCCGGAGTCAGCACGTCACCCTCCTTGCACACCTCGTAGTCCGAGAGCAGAGTCACCACACCTGCAGAGGGAGGCCCGACTCATGCTGGCTGCCCATCCTTCCCAGGGCATGGGGCTACCCACTGTGGCCCTTCAGTGCTGTATCCTGGCTTGAAGTTACTGTCCACTTCCACCCCAACCACGAGGTGTTCCCTCTTACTATTTCCCCAAGAGAAAAGTGTAAAGTTTAGGAAAAGCTTGCTATCCAGGAGGGGAGGGCTGGAAGCCCTTGGGCTCTGAGCACGACCTCAAGCTCCGCGCACCACCCCTACCTCTCTTAAGGGCAGTGGGCAGGCCTAGCTGCCTCAGTTGTGGCTCCATGGAGTGGGGGAACTGCTCCAGGGGCCCTGGATCCAGGCTCACAGTGAAAGCTGCTTTGTTCCCAGCTCGGGCGTAGTCCATTTCTGCATATTTCGTGAACCACCTTTGGAAACAGAGATGGTAGCAGTGCAGGCTCCTGACCGCACAACCAGCACACCTGATGCTCAGCTCCCCCCAACAGGTACCCATGCATGGTCCTGGGCCTCCCCTCCCTGTCCACTTTGGCTGCTGGCTGCAGCCAGGATGCTGTGCTACAGGAAGACAGATGGCTCTGGTCACCTGCCACTGGTCTCAACGACAAGCTTCAGGATTCGGTTCCAACTGGATGCCTCCTCCCTGGAGTCCCTACATCATTCCTTCCCCAGGATTCTTCCGAACGTTCTCCCCCCCGCCCCCCGCGTTTCTCAGCAACACTTACTCATTCACCTCCTCCTTAGTGCGGTTGGTGAAAAGGAGACCGACTTCACCCCGTAACTTCTTGCTGACCTGCAATTCCAAAGCAAGGCCAGTTTGGTCACGAAAAAGCAGTGATTCTCTACTAGGGGCCATTCTGCAATGTCTATAGACATTTCTGGTTATCGTAGTTGTTGGGGAGGGTGCTACTCTCTGGGTCTGGAGGTGAAGGGAGAAGCCAGAACTCTAAACCAGGCCTTGTTGGCTCAAGTGGAGCCAGCGGCCAGCACTGGCTGGGGTGAGCAGCAGGAGAGAAGACAGCTTTGCCTCGGCCCCTCCCGTGAGGGCCTGTGACTGACCTGGTGCAGGTTGTCTCTGTATTCATCAGCTGGGCTTCGACCCAAGGCCACCATCATCACCTTGTTTTTCCCAAAGAACATCCTAGCAAGAAGAAGAGGGATCAGTGAAAGAAGAAGTGCCCTGGCCTGCCTTCCCCTCCTTAGATGAGAGCAACTCCCAGCCCCCCAGCCTGGGCTGTGTGGTAGGAGCTGTGGTCAGAGGCAGCCATTCCCCATGTGGCCCTCCCATGCTATCCCTAGCCCAGGGATCCCTTTCATTACTCTCCTACTTATAAGACCTTGGCGTTGGCCAATGTTTGGTCTACCAGCCTACTGAGAACACTGTGTGACAATCTCCCCCATCCAGATGAATGCAAAAGGCAATTCCAACAGTGTGAGCCAGAGCTGGGGTAGCCGCATGCCGACCACCAGAGCTACCCGCACAGCCAGCATTCCAGCCCAGGGCTAGTAACATGCCCTGTGCCTCCTGCAGCCGCTTTGCAAGTCACACCTCTGCTCTGGTGCACAAACTGACATGATGAAACTCCTGAAAGGCCCAGACTCCATCCCGGGTGAAGGACCCCTTCTCTTCAGGAACCATATCACTAATACCCCGAGCAACTACCAAGTCCTGCTCCCCAGGAACTCAGTGACACCAACAGCAGTTTTTTTTTTTTTTTTTTTGGTTTGATTTTTTGCCATTTTTTTTTGGTATGATTTTTTGCCATAGGATGTGTGCACTGGCTGGAAAGAGACAGGGAGAGAGAGAGAGAGAGAAAGTGAGAAATCACCCCCAGAGGAAATGGCCAAGTTGTAATTCCTTCTCCTCTCAGGATTTTGGGCACAAACAAACAAGCACCTGGCATGGTTTTCAGGCCACTGAGTCCAGGACTCAAACTGTGGAGTTGGCAATGTGGGATCCAGTACCCTAACCACCACATCACATGTTGGCCCAAAAGACTAGTTAAAAAGAGGGGGCCAGCAGACAGTGTAATGGCTATGTCACTGAACTCCCACGGTTCAAGTCCCGGACCCAGTGGCTTAAACTCATGCCAGGCATATGTACATGCATGCCCAAGATCTCCAGAAGAGAATGGAGGAGAAGGGATTGTGGCATGACCATCCCCCCTGGGGGGGGATTTCTCACTTTCTGTCTCTCTGTCTTTCTGGTGAGCATATATGCCCTATAGCAAAAATCTCTAAAAAAAAGAAAAACCAAAAAAAAAACCAGTTAAACTGCCCACTTACCGACTGTGCTTCCAGGCATTCCGGATGTCCTTCAGCTTGCTGTTCCTCATGTTGGCCACGGAGAAGATGAAGAGGTACTTGTATGTGTCCACACATTTCCGAAGCTGTGGGACAATTCATGAGGCTCTGAAGTTCAAGGACAGCCTGGCTAGGGCAGTACTCTGTCCCCAGATAGGAAAGAATTCGCCCCAAGCCCCTCACAGCTCTGGAAGTTGTAAGAGCGGGAGAATCTACTCTGCTGCCTCCTCATCTCCATCGCTGAAATCAGGGTCACAACTGCAGAGGAAACTGAGCCATGGATCTAGCCCTTCCCAAGTTTCTGTGGTCAAGAGTGGGGCTGGTCACTTTTCTTTGTCTGTTAAGCTAGGAACGTTGACGCACACGAGGAGGGTTCTTGTGATGCGGAACCACATGGCCCCTCAAATTTACTTGCAGGCACTACTCTGCCCATGTTGCTGGCCAAAGCCATCACGAGTAGGTCTCGAGGGACAGGACCTCTGTGTAAGAGCTTCTCATCCAGTCCAAGGCTGGAGGTCAGAGGCACTGCAGACAGTGGTCAGTGCAGCCACCCATTCCTGGTCACTACTGGGCTTTGACACTGGGCAGGCCCAGACCTCTGTAACCTCTAGTTACATACACTACCTAGAAAATACTGGTCCCACCACCTAAGATCTACCCTACAGGCAAGTGATGAGGATGGAGTGCAGCGAACAGAAAGAGTGCGATCAGAGCTGGAAGTCACTGCTACAGGAGTTTGTATCGTGCTGCTGGAAGGGTGAGGGTGGCATGGGCAGTTTAATTTTTCTGTTTTTTTTTTTTTTTAAACACAGTTTGTTCTCCTGGTAAAGTCCCACAATCTCTTTACAAACATGAGTGCTGGAAAAACAAATGGAACAAGCTCTTACCTCTTCTATAAGGTTCTGTTTTAGTTCCAAGCCTTTCTTGGCAGTTTTGGTTAAGGAAACTAAAACAAAGACAAAAAAGAAGGGAGATGATGAGAGGTAAATCTGAAAGAACCAGACACTTCTCTGTTATGTAGACAAACAAGCTGCTCTCTAGCTCCTTGGACTAACCCCAAAATCTCTACTGCAGCACGGGAGTGAGGCTTGTTCCTGCTATTGGGGAGCTCTCGGGGGGCAGACCCACCCCCGTCTGAGGTCAATACCTTAGATGGTACATAGAGACCAGCTACGGCTGCCTGTGCTGTGCCATGATTCTGGGGACTGTGTTTAGTTTGTTACATTTCTGTACGCTGGTTTTGCACCGTGGACCCATAGATGCAGTAATTCCTCTTTGGAGAGAGACAAGCACCTCTATTGTAAAAATAGCTGGGACTCAATTTGGCCCCTACCTAGAAGTATGGCATTTGACAGATCTGACCAAGGGTCCCTCCATAAAATCAAGCTATTCCACAATACTTGGAGCACCAACTGCGAAGTCCTCCCTGTTGTCTGTAGGAAGAGGCCGGGCACTCACAGCCCTTCTTCACAAGACAAACATAGACAAAGACCATCAAGCCATTTCCGTTAGTACAGCAAAGGAGAGCAAACCAAATACAGCTGGCTGCTTCCCATCATCCCCACCTCTACAACTATGGTCCTAGCCAGCATCACCTTCTCTTGAATTACTGCTGGGCTTGCAGGTTCTATCCTCACCCTCTACCTCCATCCTCCCTACGGTATTCTCAACAAAGCAGTTACAGTGACCCTCACTTAAGAGTCCTCCTCTGTTCCAGGTCTAGGATGGCTACCGCTTTCACCTGAATGAAAGCTTATTCCATACAGAGGCTTATGAAGCCCTGTCTGCTCACCCTCCCCTACCCCTACTTTGCCCACTCTGCTCCAGCCACTCGGGCCTCTTGTCCCTGAACACGTGAAACAGGCTCTCGCTTCATTCTCTTTACTAGGAACACCGTTTTCCCAGAAAACTCCACCCGGTGCTCACTTCCTTTCTTCTGGTTTCTCATCTGTCACCTAGTCAGTGAGACCTTCCTTGGTCACATTACTCAAAACATCACCTTCATCTCTTTATCCCATTTTTACTTGATGAGACTCGCTATGCATTTTTCCATTTTTGGTATCGGAGGCCATATTTCCGCTGACTAAATGTTACTCTGGATGAGGACTCGCTCTTTCTGTAACCGCTCTATCCTTCACGCCTACAAGGTATCAGGTCCCTAAATATTTGGTGAGTATGTTAGAGACCTGTATTTTTCAAAGAGGTGTCTAGTGAACTGGCCATTAAGAAAAGGCCAGCCGCATGAAGATGAGCGCGTTAGCATGCCAGGCAGAAGAAACCGGGATACAAAGCGGCAGACTCAGCACGATCCTGTGCTGGAGGAAGGAAAGGAGGCCAGGGGTGGCGGAGCACAGGAGGGAGGCTGGGCAGAACTGAGTTTGGAGGTAGAAGGGAGCCGAAACACATGGGCACAGCCTGGGTGGGTGCCTAAGAGCTGTCTCCCGGCGCAGGCGGTCCTGCAAGAGCATTCGAGGCTGGGGAAGAGCCTCCGCTCCCTTGGCGCGACCAGGATCCAGCCCCTCAGCGATCCCGCCACCCCGGAGCCTCCACTCCGCTCGCAGTGAGCCCGCGGAGGTCCTCAGGGAACTCCTGGCATCGCAGTCCGTGTCCCCCCGCCCCCGCAGGCTCCCGACACCCGCTGTGCCCACCTTTCTTATCGCGCTTGGATTTGGGCATCGCGCTGAAACCTCGTGCGGCAGAAGGCGGTGCTGCTCGTCAGGACCCCGGAGGCGCGGGGGCTTCTGGGACGGCCCTCGGGCTGCCCTCGCGTGTGCCTGATGCAACCCGCGTCGCTACCCGGCCCTCCCAGCCGTGCTCCCGCCTGCGCTTTCTCGTGCATGTGCACGTCGACTTCCTGCACTTTCGGGCGGCGTCCGAGTCTCCAGCGCTTCCCTGAGTACTTCACGCGTGGCCCCAACTCTATGGTTCCCCGGGGGCGGGGCCTGCGGCCCGGTGCATGCCGGGCCGGCGGCGGGCGGTGCCGGGCATGGCGGCGATGTTAACTCTCTGCTTCTGGCTGTGGGCTGTGCTGTTTATCCTTGCGGCCGCAGTCTATGAAGACCAAGTGGGCAAGTTTGATTGGTGCGTAGTCGGGGGGCCTATTGTTGGCTGTTTTTCCAGTACCTGTCTTGTACCTGCTAAAGGGCGTGCGCGGCGGGGCCACCATGCAGCAGGATTGGCTGCATAACTTGTAGGACCCCGTGCAGAATGAAAACGTGGGGACCCGTGTTCAGAATTAATTAGTTCAAGACGTCGTGAGAGGAGCATGCAGTCAAGTGTTGGGGACTCTTCTAAGCTGGTCCTTGTGTTACTGCACAGGTTGCGCTCCCGGCCTTTCACCCAGGCACACTTCGGGTTCTGATCAGAGGTCACTGATTCCTTCCTCCCCCATCAGGCCCTATTTTTGTGACTGTCACTTTTCTGGGGAGTGTTAGAGGTCGCCAGCCCTCAGTGAGCTTACGTTCTCCCTGGAACTGGCGTCTCATAGGCCTGTGAACAGGGGCTTGTGTCTTTTAAGTCCTACACTGAGTCTGCATTCCTCCATGCCTGCCTGGCCCTGGACTCAGAGCACCGCCCCACCCAGAACTCATCAGCGGGGGTGGGGTAGGGTGGGGGGTGCGGGGTGTGTGTGTGTGTGCCCCTCATTCATACATTTGCTCAGTGTGGTAAATGGGTCAGTATGGCAAATATAGCGTGTGTCACATTTTAATGTGTGCACATGCTCCCAATGTCATGTATGGATATTGTACGGTGAATAACAAGAGATTCTAATGTAGCAGAATACGAAGTATATCCAATTTTGAAATTGAAAAATAAACAGAGGGAAATACACCAGAACTTTAAAAGTATATCTATAGGACCAGCAAATGACGTAATGGTTACGACACTGGACTCCCACATGGCTGACCGCAGTTCAAGTCCTAGACTTGATGGCTTAATACTCGACCAGACCATGTAACTATTGCTGAGACAGAAGGAGGCTAAGTGTTGAGAGACGAGCCTAAGTATTCTACACTTCAGATTGTGAACATTCCTGCCCTCGTTTTAGTTACATTAAACCTGTGGCAGGAGATCTGATTTTAAAATGGCCCTTCACTTCGACTGGCTATTAGACTGACCAGCAAAGGAAAGAGAAAATAAATGATGTAGCAGAATGAAAAATCAAAGAAAACCTCTATGATGACTCCCGTTCATGATTTGACAAAAGGTTATATAAATGGGAAGATAATTTGTAACTTATATAGACTCAATGAACTGTTTTTCTAGATAAATGATACAGATAAAATTTATAAGAAAAATTGAAATTGTTCCTTGCTTTAAAATTCAGGGGATAAAAGCAGGTAAGCACCTCGATAAATGTATTTAAAATGACATCACTTAAATATTGATCTATTCTATCACATCTTCAGAGCAGACTTTCAGAGTGAAATCTTTCCAGAAAAGAGTGAAATCTATGTTGAAGATCCAATAAAATGAGGCATGATAAGAGCGTTTGTGGTTTTTGTGATCAATTTGGATAACAACTCCTGTAAACACTCTGTATTACAGGTAAGGATACCAATTTATTCCGCTGTCATTTAAAAAGTGATTAGTTATGTCTCTTTGCTGTTTATTCATTTTTTTTTTTAAGTTTTTGCAATAAGGTGCATGCACTGAGAGGAGAAAGAGAGAGGGAAAGTGAGAAATCACCTTCTGGGGGGATGACCACGCCAGTTTCTTCTCCATTCTCCTTTCAGGATTTTGGGTATGCACACACACGAACCTGGTGTAAGTTTCAAGTTCCTGGTCCGGGACTCCAACTGCAGTTGGTCATATGGGAATCCAGCTGTCTTAACCATTATGCTACCTAGTGGCCCATGCCAAAGTTTTTTTTACTTCATTAAACCTTAATTAACTTTTTAAAGGCTATATTTCCAAATGTAGTCACATTGGGGGCTTGAATTTCCACATACAGTTTTTTGGGGCACAATTCAATTCCTAACAGTATTTAGGTACTTTTTTTTTTTTTCTTGGAGAGATTTTTGCTATAGGGCACATGCGCACTCCAGAAAGACAGACAGAGACAGACAGAAAGTGAGAAATCACCCCCCAGGGGGGATGGCCATGCCAAAATCCCTTCTCCTCTCAGGATCTTGGGCATGCACGCACATGTGCCTGGCGTGAGTTTAAGCCACCTGGTCTGGGACTTGAACTGCGGTTCACTACATGGGAGTCCAGTGACATAGCCATTATGCCATCTGCTGGTCCCGTATTTAGGTACTTTTTGTATCTATTTTTTTTACATTTTCCAAAATGAACACATATTACTTTTATAGTACCAATAAAACATAATAGTATTTTAAAACGGTGTGGGATTTCAAGTCCCAGGGCTCTAGTTTTAGATCTATTTCTGACCATAATTAGCTGACTTCTCTGGTCTGTGTTTTTTTCATCTGTAAAAGGAGGGTAATATTTGTCCTGCACATTTGTGGGTTGTTCAGAGACTACAGTGAGAATAATGCATGTAAAAATACAGCTTTAAAAAAAAAATCTGACCAAATGGGAACCAGCAGATGGTGTAATGGTTACATCATTGTACTCCCATGTGGTCTTCTGTGATTTGAGTCCCGGACACGGAGACTTAAAACTCATGCTGGGCGTGTGTGCGTGCATGCATGCCCAAGATCCTGAGAGGAGAATGGAGGAGAAGGGATTGGGGCATGGCTATCCCTCCCAGAGACTGATTTCTTGTTTTCTGTCTCTCTGGCGAGTGCGCATGCCCAATAGCAAGAATCACTCTAAAACAAAACAAAACGAAACAAAACACTACCAGACAATGTCATGGGAAGAAATTCATTGTAAATGTCCTGTGTGTCCAGTGTACTAGTGATTGTAGGACTTGTGTGTTGACAGCAGGGGTAAGCACTTTCTTTGTACGCAGTGGTCCAGCATGTGAGGGTGATCATACTCCTCTTATGCTTAGGTAAAAGTGTGGAAAATGATGGTGATAGCCCAAGGAAAACATCAATGTTAATTCACATGGATCCCGAATATGTGTGGGCTTGAAAGGGCTGGAGAGAACAAAGGTCTGACTCAATCCATGGAGTTGTTTTTGTTTATTTGTTTGTTTGTTTAGAAGTTTTTGCCTTAGGATCAGTGCACTCTTGGAGGGTGAGAGAGACAGAGACAGTGAGAGGGAAAGTGAGAAGAGAAATCACCCCTTGGGAGAATGGCCACACTACAATCCCTTCTCTATTCTCTTCTTTGGATCTTGGGCACGTACACACATGCGCCTTGCATAAGTTTCAAGACACCGGGTCCAGGACTTGAACCAGTCAGCTATGTGGGAGTCTAGCAATGTAACTCCTGTGCCATCTGCCATCTGCTGGCCCTTTTTTTTTTTTTTTTGCCATAGGGTACATGTGTTCCCTAGAGAGAGAGATAAAGATAGAGAGAGAGAAGGTAAGAAATCATCTTCCCGGGACCAGCAGTTAGTGTAATGGCTATGTTGCTGGACTCCCAAGTAGTTGACTGCGGTTCGAGTCCCGGACCTGGTGGCTTTCACTCACGCTAGACGTGTGTGCGTGTGTGCCCCAAGATCCTGAGAGGAGAATGGAGGAAAAGGAATTGCGGTATGGGCATCCCCCGGGAGGTGATTTCTTGCTTTCTGTCTTTCTGTCTTTCTGGCAAGCGCACGCGCCCTATAGCAAAAACCTCTCCAAAAAAAAAAAAAAAAAAGAAAAAGAAATCACCTTCCCAGAGGCGATAGACACAAAAACCTCTCCAAAAAAAAGAAAAAGAAATCACCTTCCCAGGGGCGATGGACACCCCACAGTCCCTTGTCCTCCATTTTGCTCTTGGGATTTTGGACATGCATGCACATGTACCCAAGATGATTCTCAAGCCACCAAGTCTAGACTTAAACTGCAGTCATTTCTGTGGGAGTCCAGTGCCTTAACCACCACACCACATGCTGGCCCATCCATGGAGTTGTTTTATTTATTCATTTATTTATTAAATAATTATTTTATTTATGGGACCAGCAGGTGGCATGGTGGTTAAGGTGCTGGACACTCCCACATGGCCAACCACAGTTCAAGTCTCAGACTTGGTGGCTTGCTTTCTCACTTTCTCTCTCTCTCCCTCTGGTCAAATTAAAGTGAATGAATTCATGAATAAGTAAAATTAAATAATTGTTTAAAAAATAAACTTTAAAAAAGAATGATTTTATTTAACATTTTTATTTGACCAGAAAGCAACAGAGCAAGCGAGAGAGAGAGAGAAAGTGAGAAAGCAAGCCATTGGGTCCGGGATGTGAACTATATTTTTTCAAATGAGTTTTGCCAGAGAAGGAGGGAGAAAGCAAGCCGCCAGGTCCAGGATTTGAACCACAGTTGGCCATGTAGGAATTTCAGTACCTTAACCACCATGCCATCTCCTGACCCCCCCTTTTTAAAAAGAATTATTTATTTAATTTATTATTATTATTATTATTATTATTATTATTATTTTAATTTGCTATAGGGCATGTGTGCTCACCAGAGAGAGAGGAAAAAAAAAAGTGAATCTAGGTCTGGGACTCGAACCACTGTCAGCCATGTGGGAATCCAGTGCCTTAACCACTATGCCACCTGCTGGCCCCCATCTATGGAGTTTTTTGCGTCCTGTTTTTCTCCAGAGGCCAGTGAAAGTAGAAGGGAAGGTTGGGTTGTGTGCTCATCGAGGGCAGGGTTTACGTCTGCGCTTTCATTTCTAAGCAGAGCACTTAGTCCCACCATCCGTGAACACAGGGAGGACTGTCACGTTCTGATGGTATTTAGCTGGGTGCTCGTTTCGGTGTCACTTGGTTTGAGGTAAGTATATGCTCCCATTTAGAAGAAAGTCTTCGTGTTTTTCACCTCTCAGGAGGTGATTCTCTTATTGTACTTACTCTGACTACATGGCCTGGAAATCTTGCTGTTGGTCAGATTGCTTCATTAATATACGCGACTCTTTGTTCTAAGGTAGCCTGTGATGGTGTGATTTGTCTTTTTCCAAAGCATTTTGTGTAGTAACGACTTTGGCTCCTCACATTCCTCTGTACCCTTCCTCAGGAGACAGCAGTATGTTGGGAAGCTCAAGTTTGCCTCCTTGGAATTCTCTCCTGGATCCAAGAAGCTGGTTGTGGCGACAGAGAAGAATGTGATTGCAGCCTTAAACTCTCGCACTGGGGAGATCTGTGAGTGAGCTGCGGTCTGGTGGGCTTAGGGACAGAAAGGCTGGTGACAGCAGATCTGAGCGCTCTGCAGCTCGCCAAGTCTGCCTGAATGGTTGCACAGTTAGGGGCATGTTAGCCAAAAGACACTTCTCTTAGTGGACTCTGGTGCTTTTTTTCCCGTGTTAGTCTTGTCACGTTTGAATATTCAATTATTCCTATAAAGTGGTCTTTGCAGTTTATCCCCTCAGCCCTAGTCTTAAATAGCCCCAAGTGAGATATCGTTGCCCATAACACATTCTATTTGCAGTAAAGGCTCAGATGCCCCCCACCCCGTAGTTATCTATTCTGGCTAGGTGTTTTTAGGCACTGAAGCTGTGGAAGTCAGGTTTATAGTCACTGTTTTCTTTGTGCCTTGGGTGGACTTTTGTTGGTCTCGTTTTTGTTCATGTTTGATGGGGCGGCAGTGGGACCAGAAGTACAGAGACCTCAAGTGAATAACTGTGGCTCCCGTCAAGCCCTTTGCTCCCTAATGATTGGACAGCTGTAAAATTGAACCCCGCTGTGCAAAAGAAGACCGTTTCAGTTCTCTCTAGTCTTTGTGGATGCTTCTCTTCCGTGCGTGGTAACATCTGACTTTTCTGTCTCTCAGTGTGGCGGCATGTTGACAAGGGCACAGCAGAGGGGGCTGTGGACGCCATGCTCCTCCACGGACAGGGTAAGCTGTGCTGCAGGGTCCCCATCGTGGGGGTTTCCATCCCATACCTTGGTTCCTCGTTTTGCAC